CTCCCCCTTCCTCTGTGCCCCTCACTGCCTAACCATCCCTTTTCCCCCTCTCCATCTCCCCGTCTACCCCTGCCTCTTCCTCATCCCCCTCTGCTCCCTGGCCATGGCAGGCTCTCCAGCGAACTTTGCCATTTACACAGCTCTTGTGGAGCCACATGGGAGGATCATGGGATTGGATCTTCCTGATGGTGGCCACTTGACCCATGGCTTCATGACCGAAAAGAAGAAAATCTCTGCCACATCTATCTTCTTTGAGTCAATGCCATACAAGGTAGGAGCATTTGAAAAGTAACTCAATATCGAATTAGCAGTTAATCCTTCACTGCCCTTTTGTTTTTAATTCTGAAGATATCTTGCAACAGCTTGGAGGCCATTTGGCTCATTGAGCTTGTGCCAGCTTTCTGAATGAGCTATTCATTATACACTGTCCTCCCAGTTTTATTCCTAGAATCCTGCACTGTTCTTTTTCCTTTCAATATTTGTGTTTGCATTTTCAATCTTCATCCTTCACCCTTTTCCAGCAGCTCATTCTAGATCAGAATAAACAAGAGGTGATACTTGCTAGTGTTGCCTTATGACACGTTAACATGTGGAAATGTAATGTTTGTTGTGATTTCCTTTAAGAAGTGTAGTTGAATAAGTAATGCACTTCCATACATGTCGACTTAGAATCATTGACAGTTCTATATTTATTGCACAGAAAGAGACCATTTGTCCCTTCCCAGCTCTTGATCTATAGCCCTGTATGTTATGGTACTTCAAGTGTATAACCCACATATTTTCCTATCTGTCGCATCTAGGCCCCTCATGATTTTATACACTTGAATCAATTCCTCCCCTCAGTCTCCCTGCTCAAAAGTAAGTAACCAGTTTGTCCAGTCTTTCCTCATTGCAACACTTCTCCATTCTTAGCCACATCCTCATAGATCACTGCTATACCCTCTCCAGCGATCAGATCCTTCCTGCAGTGACCAGAACTGTACACAGTTCTACCATAACCTCCTTGATCTTACAATTGGTAAGTCTGCTAATAAAGAACATGAGAAATAGGCACGGAGACCATTTGGTTGACCAAGCTTACTGTGGCATTTATATGGTCATGGCTATCTTCCACTTAAACTCCACCTTACCACACCGTCTTCATATCTCTCGGTTCCCTTAGTAATCAAAACAAAACGATCAATCTTTGTCTTGAGTATACTCAATGACTGAGCATCTGTACCTCTGTCTGGTGTAAAGAATTCTGGCACGGTGGCACAGTGGATCCAAGTTTGGCACTGGTTAGCACTGCTGCCTCACAGCGCCAGGGACCCAGATTCGATTCTACCTTCAGGCGACTGTGTGTAGAGTTTGCACATTCTCCCCGTATCTGCGTGGGTTTCCTCCGGGTGCTCTGGTTTCCTCCCACAGTCCAAAGATGTGCAGGTTAGGTGGATTGGCCATGCTAAGCTGCCTGTAGTGTTCAGGGATATGTTGCTTAGGTGGATTAAAGGGGAATGGGTCTGGGTGGGATGCTCCAAGGGTCTCTCCAAAGCCCTGTAAAATTTCAATGAGTCGATTTCAACTTATCGTCCAATCCCTTTGTAATAAACAAAGCATGCCCTATGCTGCCTTAATTTCTTACTGTACTTGCATCGTGATGTGATTGATTCATGAATGGTGACACCCAGATTCTTGCACATACCACTATTTCCCAATCTTATCATTTAAAAACCATTCTGTATTTTTTCTACTTTTCCTTCCAAAGCAGGTAATTTAGCAGATGAACTGCCATGATTCAAGAAGATGGTTCACCAACTTCTTTCAAAGGCAAATTGGGATGTACCACAATATGCTGGCCTAGTGATGTTCGCACCCCATGAAAGAATAATAAAAATCTTCATAGCTCCCCACATTACAAATTGTTTAAAATCTTTGCATCCCCCTACAGCCTACTTTCTCACTTAGCCCTCTTGTATTGTCAGTAAATTTGATTACACATTACACTCAGTGGCCTCATCTAAGTTATTGATACTAATTCTAAATTGCTGAGGATCATGCACTGGTAGTTCTTACAGTATCCCCCATTTGGCCTACTCACCTCAAAATGACTCATAATTCCGACTGTATATTCTGTTTATGAAGTAATTATTCAACTGATGTTGATATATCACCCCGCTCCCCAATCCCATAAACTCTTATTTTGTCTATTAATGTTTTTGTGTGGCACTACATATGATTTTTTTGCGTAAATCCTACTATCTTCAAAGATTTGTGGATATGCACTTTATGAATCTCTTACCCTAACCGTCTCATTGTATTACAATGTATTGTTTATTTGTTTGCCTTACCCCAAATGCATAACCTCACACTACTTCAGATTGAATTCCTTTTACTAATTCTCTGCCAATCCTGGCCAGTCTATCGATATCTGCTTGCTTTCTCTTTTGCAACCAAATATGTGGCAATTTTTGTACCATCTGCAAACTTCTATATCAGGCTTCCTAATTAATAGTGTGTTGAGATGTACCACAAAAAGCAAAGGCCTGGAACTGAACTCTGCAGAACCACACTGCAGCCTTCCTGCTCCAAACACCTGTTGACCTTTTTACTTTTTGCCACTGAGATAACTTTAGATCCAGCCTGCCCCAATCCCTTGGATCCCATCGGCTTTTACATTTCTGACGAGTCTGCCAAGGAGACCTTGTAAAAAAAATCAATATAACTTAAATCAAATGCACTACCCTCACTGAACCTCCTGTTATCTTCTCAAAAAATTACATCAAAGAGTCAGTCTGTAAAAAGTAACTAACTGCTATTGGACTTGATTAACCCTAGCCTGTTGAAATGATGGATTCATACTGTTCCTCAGATATTTCAAATAATTTGCCAACCACTAAGGTTAGACTGACAGAGCTGTAATTATTCCATCTATGCCTTCATTTATATAAAAAATAGTGTTAGCTGTCCTCCAATTGATCAGCTCCATATTAATGAAGATTAGAAAAAATGGCCAGAGCTTTCACTATTTTTTTTTCCTAGCTGCTCTCCATAACACTGAATATACTTCATCTGAGCCTGGGAGTTAATTTTACTTGCGAGGAATCTCGACCCCTTAATATTTTCTAGCTCACTATATTTATCCCATCTCCTGTTTCACACTGTTTCCTCTTTACTACTATGCCTGCATAACCCACCTCTCTTCTGAAGGCTCAAACAAAGCATGCAATCAGAACAACTGCACTTCTTTCTGCCTTCACACATCACTGAGGTTATTGGTCTCATGGACCCAATGCTTTTGTTGGTTATTCTATTGCTCTTTAGCTTTTTGTCAGATGTTTTTGGGTTTTCTTTAGCTTTGCTTGCCAATATTTTTAATGCTGTCTCTTCACTTTCATAATTTTCCTTTTGATTTTCATCCTGTACTTTCCATACATCTCTAGGCTTATTCTACTATGAGTTCTTGATATCTGACATAAGCTTTCTTTTTGCCTTGAATTGCTACGTTTGCCCTTTGTTAATCAGGGAACTATAGATTTAGGAGCCACACCTCTTTTTACTTTGTGGGAATGTTTGTTTTGAAACCTCACTATCTCCTCCTTGAATCCGCCCCATTGATTTACTTTCAATTAGCTGCTTTGCGGTCCACTTTTGTTAAATCACATCCCAGCTTAGTGAAATTGACTTATGCAGAACTGAGAACTTTTACTTCTGTTCTATCTTTTTCCTTTACCGTGACTGCACTAAATCTAATTGATTAATATCCATACAAAAAAAACCTTGCTGATTGGATATCCCTTCCAGCTGTCCTGCTTCATTTCACAACCTGAAGTTCCAAAATATCCTCTTTCTTTTGTACTTGTTAGGTATTGGCTGAAATAAACCTCCCGAATATATTTTAAGAATTTTGCGCTCTCCATACATCTTGCACTGATACTATCGCAGGCAATGTCAGGGTGACTGAAATTCCCCTGTTATTAGTGCCCTGTCCATTTTGCATTTCTCAGCAATTTACTCTTCTATCGTCCTCTAACTATGTGAGGAACATAAGACTGCCATCTGTTTGATTTGCTTTTTTTTTGCTTTTCTGTTCAACCCACATGCCCTTTATAAGATGATCCTAATTGAATATCATCCCTCCTTCAGATGTGATTATTAATCAATATTACAGTTCCACTTTTTTATGTCCCTCTCTATCTGATCTGAAAACTTTGTAACAAGGAATGTTGAGCTGTGATTCCTGCCCTTCTTTCTGCCATGTTTCAGTAATAATGATGAAATTCTATTTCAAATTGTCTCTCTGTGGCTTCAATTCATCTGCTAATTCACAAGATTCTTTGCATTGAAGTATTAAAAAAGACTCAGCTGGGCTCATAAAATACTGCACGGAGTAATTCACTTCCTGACTCATCAAAGCCTGTCCACCATCTACAAGGCACAAGTCAAGGAATGTGAATACTCCCCTCTTGCCTGGATGAGTGTAGCTGCAACAACAGTCAAGAAACTTGACGTCAATTCAGGACAAAGCAGCATGCTTGATTGGCACCACATCCACAAACGTCCACAAGCTATTATGGGGAGGCGATGGCCTAGCTGTATTATCGCCAGACTATTAATCCAGAGACCCAGATAATGTTCTGGGGACCCAGGTCCAAATCCCACCGCGGCAGATGGTGGAATTTGAATTCAATAAATATCTGGAATTAAGGATCTAATGATGACTGTGAACCCATTGCCGATTGTTGGAAAAATCCATCTGGTTCACTAATGTCATTTAGGGAAGGAAACTGCCATCCTTACCTAGTCTGACTTACATGTGACTCCAGACCCACAGCAATGTGGTTGACTCTCAACTGCCCTCTGGGCAATTAGGGATGGGCAATAAATGCTGCCTAGCCAGCGACGCCCTCATCCTGTGAATGAATAAAGGAAAAAAAACAAGCAACCACCACCGATGTTCAGTGGCAGCAGTATGTACTATCTACAAGATGCACTGCAGAAATTCACCAAAGTTCCTCAGACAGCTCCTTCCAAACCCATGACTACTTCTACCTCGATGAACAAGGGCAGCAGATACATGGGAAAGTAAGTTCCCCTCCACGCAACTCAGCATTGTGACTTGGAAATAAGTTGCTGTTCCTTCATTGTGGTTGGGTCAACATCCTGGAATTCCCTCCCCAACAAATTGTGTGTCCACCTCCACCACATGGACAGCAGCGTCTCAACAAGGCAGCTCAAAGCCACTAAGGCAACAAGGGAAAGACAATAAATGCTGGCCTAGCATGTATCATCCACATCCCATGAGTGAATTTAAAAAAAAGCGTTGAATACTGCCAAACACTCTCTTTGAATAGTTCCAGTCCCTGTTTCCCAGCCTTTCGTACTTGCATACTAAGTTTCTGCTGCCTATTTTCAGTTTTGTTTCTTAGTCCTGAAATCTCATTGGAGTTCCTGTCCCCTTTCAGGTCAGTTCGTACTGTCCCAGAAAATCACAAGTTTTCCATTCAATTCCTGTAATCCACATTGGTGCCTACCACATCATCATTCTCATCTTCCCTGATATAGTACTGCACCAAGCCCAGGTTATGTGCTCCTCACAGGAAGGGAGCAAGAGAGCAAGAATTGAATTTGGAAGTACCAAGGACACGGAAGATAGGAGCAGGAGGAGGCCATTTGGCTCTTCGAGCCCATTCCGCTATTGTTCACGATCATGGCTGATCGTCCAACTCAATAGCCTAGTCCTGCTTTCTCCCCATAACTTTGATCCCATTTGCCTTAAGTGCTATATCTAGTTGCCTCTTGAATACATTCAATTTTTGGCGTCAACTACTTCCTGTGGTAACGAATTCCATAGGCTCACCACTCTCTCTAGTGAAGAAATGTTTCCTCATCTCTGTCCTAAATGGTCTATCCCAAATCGTCTGACTGTGACCCGTGGTTCTGGACACACCCACCATCGGGAACATCCTGCATCTATCCTGTCTAGTCCTTTTAGAATTTTATAAGTCTGAGATTTCCCCCCCGCCCCTGAACTCCAGTCAATCTCTCCTCATATGTCAGTCCCGCCATCCCGGAATCAGCCTCGTAAACCTTCACTGCGTTCCCTCGAGAGCAAGAGCATCCTTCCTCAGAAAAGGAGACCAAAACTGCACACAATATTCTAGGTGTGGCCTCACCAAGGTCCTGTATAACTGCAACAACACATCCCTGCTCCTCCATACCCCCAATGTGACTGATGGAGGGATCCTTCTTGGCAGGGAATGGGAGTGAGTTAATTGATCGTCAACTTCTCAGCCAACAGTAAAAGGAAGGTGGGGAGGCAGATAGAGAAATCCATCTACTGCATGCTTGCAACAGCTGTCTTTGCAACTTGTGTTGATTGGCTGATTGGTTCCAAGTGACCACAAGTTGCTGGACATATTCTAACCTTAGATGCTGCAAGGAATCACAATTTGTTTAGTCTTAAATGGAAGCGAGATGCATTGTGAGTGTGGTTTAGTTTTGTTCTTCCAATTCTGGATTCTTCTGCATTCTTTTTTTGTCTTATCATTTGGTAGCCCAATTCTATCCCTGAACCTGTCCATGCATCCCCAGATGTTTCTTAGAAACTATATCTTGACAAGATTTTAGCTCACCAGTCCAAGTAACCCCATCTATGGCTCAGTTTCAAATTTTGCTTGATGGACACTCCTGTGAGGCTCCTCGAGATTAATGCAGTTGCAGCTGTTTCTGTTATGCAGATCCTCTGATCAATTGCAATGGTGAAATACAATGTCATTTGTGGCACGGATCTGAGAGTGAAGGATTACTGTTTGGTTTATGGCAGTTGAATAGTTATTGTGTACACATTTTACAATCACATCATGAAGTTAATATGGCCAGAATAGGAATGTCGATGGCTCTGGCAGTAAACTAAAGTCCATGAACCCGTTTGACTGTATTTTGTTATAGCTGGAGGACGAAAACCAGACAAACCTAATTTGAAGCAGAAGAAGCGTTCACACTTTCAGACTGATCTTCTCATGTTAGCTTTACGCTTAAATATTTTTATTGTGCTCCGAAGATGAAAGAACCCAACATGTTTATGAATATATCTGAACAGAAAATGCTGCAAACAATCAGCAGGTCAGACCACATTGGAGGGGAGACAAACTGAGTCAACACTTCAGGTCAATGACCTTTTGTCAAAACGAAAATGTTGGAACTTTTGCCTTTGCTTTTATCTAACACCTTATTCCTCTGTGGAACACAGGAAAGAGATTTCACAGGGACTAATTTTAAAGGGTAATTGCTGTTGTTATGCAGAAGCCAGCTTGTGCACAGGAGAACCCAGCAAACAGCAACGGGACATTACCTCATCTGCTTTTGATGGTATTGACCAAGGGATATCGACTGGTCAGGATGGCAGGAGAACTCTCCACTCTTTTTTTTAAATTGCACCATGCGATCTTGCCTTACTCCTTGAAAAGGCAGACAAGGCCTTGATTTAACCTCTGATCTGGAAGACTGTGCTCTGACAGTGTATTGCTCCTTGGTGCTGGTAGTTTCTTGGCTTATGCTATGAAATATGATCCACATCCCTGATATTCTGACTCGGATAAGAATGTTAACGGCCAGGTAAAGCCTTCGCTTAAGACTTGAAACTCAATGCAGGACACAAGAAAGGGAGATGGATTGAAAGGTAAATTATGACAAGCTCAAAAGCCTGAAGATTGTGATAGGGAATACTGAAGGAGATGAGGAGTTCTGCAGAGAAGAATGAACTGGAGTGGAGGTAATTGGAGTGGAACCTACTACCCACATCTTAACTCCTATCGAGTCCTGTTCTGTCAGTTCCCCTGAGCTCTATTAGCTCCTAATCTCAATGATTAGAATTCCCTTAATTCAGGAGAAGTCTGTCATTATAGAATGGTTTCCTAGTTCCCTCTATTGTTTTGCTGTATTTTGAAGACAAGTTGAGTTTCTGGCTACATCTGACCTCGTCAAGAGATTTGGCAGAAGACTACCCTCTTAATAACCTCTAAGTTTCCTTTGTGCTTTTTATATAAAAAATACAAATGTCTTTGATATCATGTTTACAGTTTGACTCTGGATAACACACGAGTCGTATGGGGACTGATGGCATTGTGGTTTTGTCACAGCTGAGTAATTTAGAGGTCTGGACAACAGTTCTGCAGGCTTAAATTTAAATCTCTCGATGGCAATTGGGAAATTTAAACTCCTATTACAAATAGGAATGAGAAATACAAATCTAATATCAGTAATGATGACCATGTAACTACGAGATTACTATAAAAATTCGTCTGGTTCAGTAATGGTGAAAGAAATCTGCTTATTTAGCCTGTCTGGTCTTGACTTTGACTCTTGACTGGCCTTTAGCATGACTTAGCAAGCCATTCATTTAAAGGTAGCTAGGGATAGGAAGTAACTTGTAGCTTTTACCAACAACATCCATGTGCGATGAATGACAAAATCTTCTCTGCTGTTCATCCTCTTTAGGTGAACCCTGAAACTGGTTATATTGACTATGACGGGTTGGCAGATAACGCACGGCTGTTTCACCCAAAGCTTATCATTGCAGGTAAGCACTGATGGCATCCAGTAAAGAGAATTCACAATTGAATCCCTCACCCCACACCGATAAACAGGAATCCTGTTGTGGACTGAGCTATTATGTGGTACACATCATAGCAAGTTCAGGTCAGGATCCCTGCTGGATGATTCTGAATAAAATATTGTTGACTTTTTGCTGCTGCCTTTCACTGATACCATGTTACTGGATTGGGTATTTTCTTGTGTCCAGCTTTCCTCTTTGCAAAATTTTGAAGGAGGCAGCGGATGTAACAAGAGCAGCATAGTCATTCAGCTCCTGAAGGAGAGTTGAAGGGGTAACACTTGCCCTTGCCTTTTGGTCGAAGAGGTTCCATTTTAAGGAGGGTCATTAATGGGCAAGGGTGAGAGGTTTAAGGAGGACGTTCCAGAGCTGAGGTCCCCAACATCTGAAGGTGTAATAGTTGGGGATTGCAGTAGGAAATTCATTCACAGCAGCATTCCAATCAGCTGAATTGCGCTGTTACTGTCCCCAGGTGTTAGTTGTTACTCCCGTAATCTGGATTACGCCAGGATGCGACAGATTGCGGACGAGAATGGTGCCTACCTGATGTCAGACATGGCACACAT